TCCTCGAGAGCCTGACGAAGCTGATCTTCGGTATATTGAGGCATTATATATAGAAGAAGACATGTGCAAAAGATGAGCCCATTTGGACGCGAATTGAAAATGTTGTGATAAAAGGAGGTTGGGGGTGGGCATTGGGTTGTGGTGGATTTTCGCGTTTTTGTGGGTGCCAGAAACAGGGGGGTGCCAGGAAGTGGGTATGTTGACTTATGAGATCGTAGCAGATAGATCGAGGAGAGGGCAAAGAGTATTCTTATGAAATTTCCGTTTGTGGGAGCCGGCGGCTGTAAGATCTGTGACAGCAGCTCTTGCAATGCTGAATATCCCGTTGTCTGATCTTCTTGTAAGTACAATAATGGGCCAGCTCTTCAATGAGAAGCCGTTGCAGGTTACCGAAGAGCCCTGAGTTAATCCAGACAACACCGAAGCCACATTCTTTGCAAGTTATTTTGTTCATTGTTCTAGCTAGGTAAGACACTTGAACTCGTATTCCTCGTTGCTTCCTACTTATTGATGCAAATTCTTTTCTCCAAGATTCGCCAAATTTCACCAGTCAAGTTCCTCTTAAGGTTTCGTTTTCCACGCTCAGGAGCTAGGAGGTAAGAAACGCGAACCAGTCTGGGCTGCAAAGTGATACATCCTAATTGGCTTCGTGCATCCCCATCCTATATCTGAAGAGACAAATGTAATCTCTATCTGTCTCTGCAAGTATGTATTTGGTCGGCCTCGCTAATGATATCAGACTTGGTTTCATATGTTTCTCTGCTTATTATTATCCCTGATAATGCGAGTAATGCTCCTGGCCTCGGAAGGTGGGGGAAAGCGCACAGTCGATCAGCGTCGCATTAGAGGGCAGCAATGACTTTGAGAACCAACGCTCAGTACTCCGTAGCCAGCGAACGTATCATTGAACAGCCCAGAAATCAGATGTCTCTCTTTCTGCTCAGCTTCGTTAGGCGTCGCATCCTGATCAGGCAGGATACCGAAATCAGTGCGCGAGCTGGCTGTCGAGTTGGTACTTCAATTGGCCGGACATCGTCTATGACAGTACTAGAACGCCGTCTTTTGTTTTTTCAGCCAAAGGCTCTGATTATACAAACAGAAAAGTATTCAAGCTCTTCTTTCAAAGACCACTTTCAGAGACCACGGGGAAATCCTGCATGCAAACAGTGTTTTAATACCGCGCCTCCTTGATTGTCCTGCGCCTGACTCGTACTCTCTCAACCTAATCTTTCCTTACGAACGATGTTTTTGCCATTTGAGTCATCATATTCCTTAGAGGCAGACTGCTTTATCTAAAGGGATCACAAATTTCCGAACCTTCAACCTAGAGACCGCAACTTACATCTTCATAATTCGCCGATTACCAATCATCAACGGTTCACGCTTGAGTTCAGCAATCCGTTGGCCGAGCTACATCGAGTCGTCGATGGTCTGACGCGACAAGGATAAGCTTCTGAAACTAAGATTGCGCATTCTATTATACTCTGCTCATTCCCCACTGCTTGTGGCAGTGAGAATGTTCCCGTACAAACAAGCCACTTAAGGTTTACAATTGGATGAACCGGCGCCAAGTTATTTTTGATGTCGGATTCCCCGGGATTTAGGCCCAGGATTCTGCTGCCAGGAAGCCTAACAACCGGCAATAGCATGAGAACAATATGCAGTCAAGGAGCATAGCCTCCACTCGAGGCCCGTATGCGTGAAAGTCAAAAACTGAATGATCGACGAATCCGACGGTCTTGGTTTAGTGCACTCTTGGTATAAGAGCCTATGGGACACGCACTTGTGTCGTAGTCTCGATCTGTTCTGCATCAACTACTTGTCTCTCGTTTTCTCATCCCCTTCCGTGATCAACAAACTAGCTGTCTTCCCAACTTAAGATATATACATCAAAATGCGTGCCTTCACCATCGCTGCTGCTCTCCTGGTTGCCGGAGCCCAGGCTGCACCTGCTCTTGAGAGCCGTCAGATCATCTACGGATGGTAAGTCACGGTTCCCTGAAGCCACACAACTCAGCGATTGTATCGCAGGGGTTCCAACTCTTGCACAGGGCTGACAGTAATTGATAGCTACTTCTCCGGAGATGGCGTTGTCAACCAATACGTCAGCGTTGGCCACGACATCGACGTGACCGGCACCAGCGGCAAGAGCTACCACATTGACTGCGGTACCACTTCGGGACAAATCGTTCCCAACGTCTTCGCCAAGTGCACTGTGGACGGCAAGAAACCGGATGGCATCACCGCCAACGAGTCTGACAAGAAGTAAGTTATACAAAAGGCACGGAACATCGCAGATAAGGACTAACCGATCACTTCTTAGCGCAATCAACTGCCCCATCTCCTAGATTATCACCTGCCTCCTAATCAAGCATAGTTTGAGTATTAGACTTTAATCCATAATTGGTCGAATCGACCTGGAAAAATCATTCATACTTTCAATCAGGTCACATCTGAGGATGCGTTGATCTACATGCGTTGGTGTGCGTTAATTTAGGGAAGCGACCTATTATACCCTCATCTGTGCTGCCAGATGTTCTAGCTTCTGGTTAACCGAGTCTGCTAAAGCGGTATTCTGCAAGTTGCTGAAGTCAGCCACGACTCTAAGACAAAGGTGCTGTGTGATACTATTATATTACTCCAACCGACATGGAGGTTGACCGTTGTGATGGCACCTTCAACATGTTGTAGGTCCATACCACATCACTTCGGAATGAAGTCAGCTGATGACATAGAAGGGTCATACATTCAGAAGCCCAAGACCCAACTTACATAGAATACTACGATGACAAGGTACTGACTGCAACGTCAAGTTGAACAGTAGTCAGATCAAGCCTACCTTATGCGAGTGACAGCATAGTAAAGTGGTTTCACCAGCACATGAGTAATGGTTTAGAAACTTCACTATTTTGTTTCTCGCTACATGCCATCAATTGTTGACGAGTTTCAATAACGGAAAACCTCGCGTTTGTGACCAGTATTTCTATACTCACAAGTACCGTAGCTGTTGATATTACGGATAGCCTGGCATACATCTACGCATTCACTGTTAGGCAAATCGGAAACTCCAAGTTGGACAACCAACTATCACAACCATTTGGAAGTTTGGATGCAAGCGTCTGGTCGGTTAGCAACAATGTATAACCGTGGAAAACATTCATGTGTCAAAATCCCCACCAAGAGAATATCAAGTACTTACAAGCGAACACGCTGAACGAACACGGGGAGCTGCCCCCTAGATCCTAGCATCAATGCGGATCTCGGGCCTCCTTGATGGCTTTGACGTTGACAGCACAAGGGTATCCCACAGAAGTCTTGGCCAGAGTACATGAACGATGACACGAGCACGAGTAAAGATCAGACGGATCTGCCCAATCGCCAACAGAGAACCAACCGAGGAAACACGAGACTTGGCCATACAGGGCCCAGAAGGCGATGGGGAGTCGGCAAGGTCCGACACAGTCGGTTTTGGGCTGAAGTTCATCGCCGCTAAGGTGCAGCTCTTCGATTACCCATTTGGTCGATGGGCCTATATTCGGTTGCAAAGCCGAAAACCAGACAGAAACCACAGCCCGTCTCCCACGGCTGAGATGATCCGCCTTGCAGGACGCGCAACACATGTCAGAGATAACCGTATTTTGCTGACAGGTCGTCCGTAGTGCGGCAAGTCCTTTTGAAACTACCGCAGCCGGCATTCTTATGCGGTGCAGTCCAAGATCACCGTCTTCTATCACCTCCACCCCGCCGATGTCAAGTCAAGGGGACGACTGTCCCCGCTACCTTCTTCCCGGATACGGGGGTCCGCTCTCCTTTCAAGTATACACGGTTGGCTTTACCGCGTCCGATTCATCTTCCCGTTATACGTCACAACCGCTCGGCAGGTCCAGAGCGTCTGTCTTTCCGAGGAGAATTATGCATTCTTTTTTGTTCGCATTAGTATGAGGCCTTGGAGTTGATCAGCATCCATTCAGGGGCGGCGCGTCATCGTCACAACGCACACAAGTGATGCAGAGAACCTGGACTCCGCACTACATCTGACTTGAGTCTCGGCCAGTGCTCTCTAGAACAACTAATACCGCCCCATTGCTTTTCTCGCCGCAAGATTATCAACGAAGAATTCGAAGCGGCCGACTCGAAAAGTATCCAGCCTTATCTCAGCGATTCTTGTCGCATCTCGGCAACAACGCAGCACGAGAACGGTCCGATCTGTCGACTTCGACGATGATTGTCCAAAAGACATGGCCGCAATACATTGCGGTGCGTCTGCTAATCATCATGATGAGGGACCTGGGGCTTCTAGGCCTGACTTACTTCTATGTCGTATTCGCATTAGGCGGCGTCAAGGCTATTGCTCATCCAGTTTCCATCTTCATCGAAGTCATTGCCGCCATCGAAATTCTTTTTTACTTGCTCTTCTTCCTACCGTACAAACGACACTTGCAAACTTACAAGCCATACATGCCCGCCCCAATGAGTCGATCACAACGCGCTCGATTATTCTCCAAGGCCTTGAGTCTCGTGCCAGATGGCGAGGAATTTGTTCGCATGTGGATGCTCAATGCACATATGGAGGACATACGCCGCGAAAACCTAAAAGATTGGCTGCTATGGGCTTTGTTTGAACAGGACAATACAGCTGGACGCCCTACTAAGGAAGTTGAAGCCGAACTCGAAGGGTACGTCGACGACACTGAAGAAAAGTTTGGAATCAAATTACGCCCGGGAAGAGGAGATGCTGAAGCCCTGAAACTCGCCTTCGACCCTGTGATCATTCAACATCGGAGCTTGCTTTATTACCTGGTAAGTCGATTGCGATGATTGTTTCCCGAAAAGTAGGAGCGATGCATGCGCCGTTGGCACAATTTACTCTTGTCACCCTTCGACTAGTCGATGTACCTTCACTAATCAAATTGTTTCCCAGGTCATTGGACTTTTCGACAACTTGATGGCTTTATATCTTCTTACTCAAGGCTATTGCTACTACAAGCAGTCATTCTCAACCTTCTTCAAGGTTTTCCCAGTTCGGTTCATCAACCTCTTCCCTTTCAAACAGTCCGCGGCGAGCAAAATGTCCTACTGGTATCGACCTCACAAGTCAGCAACGCAACGTCCTGTCGTATTTATCCATGGCCTGGGTGTCGGCTTGATCCCATACATGTTTTGGCTCAACACAATTCCTAAGGACGTCGGAATTCTAGCAGTCGAGATGCTGCCAATTTCTTCTCGTGTCACCACGTGGCCATTGCCATCAACACCCGAACTCTGCGAGATGATTGCAAAGTGTGTGGCACAGCAGCGAGCTTCGCAACCCGCGCCTGGAGTCGGAGAAAGAGGAGCATGGGATGACTTTGTTCTTGTCGGTAACAGCTACGGAACCTTGTTGATGGGCCAACTACTACAAAGAGCAGATTTTGCTCCGCGAGTTGCGGCATCAATCTTGATTGACCCAGTGTCGTTGCTCCTTCATCTCCCGGATGTCGCTTTCAACTTTACTCGCAGGGAGCCTAAGCCGTCGATCCGTGGGAGAACAGGACACGGCAATGAATGGGAGATATGGTGGGCAAGTGCAACCGACGCCGGGACAGCATACACACTTGCTCGGAGGCTCTGCTGGCGGGAATCTCTTATGTGGCGCGAGATGCTCACTCCAAGCCTGCGGAATGTTGAGGCTGGCTACTATGCGTCTGGCTCGCCAGAAGAAACTGCGATATTCGGCAATGGTATTCAAGCCGGAATGCGCAGCACCGTTGTGTTGGGAGGGGAAGACTGCGTAACTAACCCAAGAGCAGTAGCAAGTTATGTCTATTCCGGAGACGTGAAGTGGACGATGGATGATTTAGAGTCGTGGAAAGACTACGAGTGGAGCGGAACAGAGGAGTTGGAGCTAATGTTCTTGGATGGAAAGGACCATGGGCAGGGCATCATGGTTCCTTATCCTTTTAAGCCTATCCAAACAGTCATCGAGACATATTGTAGGAGGGATGACGGATTTAAAGCATTCGGGGATAAGTTCATAGGTGGACCTGAAAGTATTTATGGCCTTCGAGTACACAGAGACGAGGTTGTTGAGCTGAAGAACCTCTAAGCCGAGATTACATTTAAGATTTCTTCTCAATTTCAGACGTTCAAAATCAAAATCAATTTCTCTTTCTTACTTGAGGCTTTCAATCCATTTTTCATTGAATATGAATACCGAATGTCATTAGGGTAGCAATTAGAAAGCTTTGTCAGTGTCAGGCTTAGTGCAAACCATAGTCCCAAACGACAGAAATCGTTAAAATAATCTAGTGACGTAATACTTGCTCAGGGATTCGCTTCTTGTAGACATGTGGACAGAGCACTTTCAATCCTGGTGTGTTTGATTCAACGCAGTTTGTTGCAAAGTGTAATCCAATTGCCGCCGTAACATGTTCTCATTGACCAGAACATTACAGCCCATGATCATGTAGCTTGTGCCAAGTGTCGTTCAAATCTCGTATGACTTTACGCGTCGTTAACATTCGTACGTTTTGACACAAGGAGCCTAAAAACTCTAGGAAGCTGGAATCTCAACTTCGATAACACTGAAGTAGTCTGGTGGCTTCTTCCAAAACTTGATGACTCTGAGACCGGCCGAGTCAAGCAAAGCCATCCACTGCTTTTCAGTGCGTTCTTTCCCAGATAGATACACCATCATGGCTATATCAAATGCTGTAGTATTCATCTGGCTCTTTTCGTCGTCTAAGACCTGGTCATGAATGAGCAATCTGCTGTAGCCAGGTTTCATGGCGCCTTTCTGCATCTCTAGTATCTTCAGGGCCGAATGGTCGGGCCAATCATGGATTATATGGTGCATGTAATATGCACGAGCGTCTGTATCACAAGTCAGCACCAAATCCGTACAAAGCGGTTTGTATAGCTAACGTTTCACTGGTTGTGGCTCGAAAAAGCTGTATTCCACCTGCTTTACCGTGTTGGGAAGGAGCGCTTTATCCTTCGCGTCACTAATGACTGATTGGAGATCCTCGAGGTATAACCTCGAGCCTTCGTTGGGGTAAGCTTTGTAAAAACGTAAGAGATCATGCCCAATCCCGCCGCCAATATCGACAAGAAGTGGAAGGCTTGAATCTGATCCATCAACCAAGTTACGGTGAGGGTACATATCCATCCACGGTGGCTCTTTGTTGGTGGACGCCTTTTGTACGATATTGAACATCTCACCTATTTTCGGATTCCCGCTCAGAAAGGACCACAGGTCTCCGGTGTGCCCAGTAGATTTCCGTAAGATTGTGTCAGCAGGATCAGAGGGATCCTTGTACCCTTTTTCTGCCAGATGGTCGGGCAAAGTACCATATGCACGGTGGCCAGTCACGTAACTGTGGGGCTTATAAGTATGTAAAATCACTTCGGTTTGATCGTGCCACTCACTAGAAGTTTGTGAGAGTGTGGAAGTCTGGCTTTGATAGTTCCATGCAGAACTGGTTCGGTTTGAACTTTTCTACTGGAACTTGTTCCATAAGACCATTCGCAGCTAAGCTACGGAGAAACCTATCTACAGCCAATCTGTCAGCAGTGTCCGAAAATGATTCCAAGTACCCAAGTCTATCACCGATGAGACTTACGAAGAAGCTGAGGATCACAGCTCCCCACAAGGCCTGCGAGCTGAGCACTCGTCATCGGGACAAATCCTTGTTCTTTCCACTTCATCATCAACTTCAAGTCTTTGATGATTTTTATCCCCGCGGTAACAGCAGGCTAAAACTGAGTCAGCACTTCATGATATATCGAAATCTCGTCTGCGTGTTTCTTGGGCCTCACCTGATTTAAATGAATTCTGACATATGTGTCCCAGGGGGTCTCCAGCTTAGACAGAACTTCATACGTTGCTAGAAGTGCCTTCATGCGATCCTCCTCTGTCTGAAAAGAAGATGCTGTGATACCCCCAACCGCTCGCAGGTAGTCTTGGCCGTAGTTAGATCCGACATTCATGCCATTGATTCCATCCTCTCTCGAAGCCATGATGTCTGATTTAATATTTCGTATGAGCGTGAAATAAGTGAAGTTGATACTTAGTGAGTTGAGTCGAATCTTGCCAATGCTAGGGTACTTATTTGGTCGGTGAAAAGGATATCATATGTATATATATACGGTAAACCATAAAACAATGATCAGCACCCAACTAGCCACGGCCTAAACTTCCTGAACCAGCCCACAACAACAAGAACCGGCGACGGATATTTTCACACGACCGCGCTACCCCAAGCGGAAGAGATAAGCCTTCGCGCGCCTTCGCTTTCGAGCCTGGGGCCGAACCTCATCCAAGAGCCTACTACCTATTTTCCGAGTCCAGTCACATTTTCACCGCTGCATCCGGAAGCCCGTCCAAGAGACGATCTCTAGTGTACTTAACGCTTAAACGACATTGAGCAATCAGAAAGCTTCATCGCTGTGTAGATGTCAGCCGGCACGCTAAGCTTACCTTGAAATGGCAGGGACCTTGAGTTGGATGTTTCGCTTGGCAACTTTATCCAGACGTGTGGTATGACAGAGCGCAGAGCTGCCAACCAAATTACAAGATGAGATGTCGCACAGACTCTCGTCTTAAGAAACTCAAACTGTCTGATGATATGTGACCCAACATTAGCTACGTAGATGGCAAGCGCAAAGGCAGCTAGTTCGTGATCTTTCACGTGAATATGAAGACCTTTCGAACTAAAATGGTCAGCGCGATTACCAAGGGACGACCCGAGGCTAGGGCATTTGTTATTTGTCTTATTAATAGTGCGTACAAGCAATAACAAGGTGATCGTACCTCGAATCCGCATAATATCAATTGCCGCTGCCCCTTCAGAAAAAGCACATCCGGCGGTTTCTCAATATCAGATGGAAGCCCAGGTCTTTGGTCGGTTGAATGCAGAGATTATCTAGCACTCATTTAGGGCGCGAAGTGCGCTGGCCGCACGGGGGGAAAATGATGTCATTTGATTGCAGAAGGTTCCATCAGTACCCTCGCATCAGTTCACAGTTTGTGCTCGCTCTCGAATCGAGAGAATAGCCTTGAAAACGTGCCATACCCGCAGTCATATTCTTGACGTTTTCATGCGGGTTAATACGGTGCTTCTCGAATCTTCTGGGAAAACACCTTCGCACGCCCACGCCTCTGTATCTCTGGTAAGTTGAAAAAGGAATTACATTAATGTAGGCATGAATATCACACTGCAACATCTGGTACTTTCCGCCAAGTACCTTCATTATATTTTAGTTGTTAGTACTAACATTATTATTCTCAGCAGCCGGATGCCTCACAGCACATCCTCGACAAAAATTGGACAATGGTATCAATGAACAAGACGATCAAAAACAGAGATTGACTAACGAGGACTAGTTCTAGAAATCGTGGGAAATTGGGTTTTAGTAATCGATACTTGCGATATTGTCATTGCTCTATATAACTTTATTTTCCCCAGGTTGTCCCATCTCCAAATCTAAAGCTTTCATAATGAAGGCACCAGATACATGGCTTAAGCTATAGAACATGGAAATCGAGGGTGGATCAAAACACGAGGGCATGTGTTTGTTATGGTCGTGTTGATTTTCGCTTTCCGATGATTACGAGCTAACGGCCAGTGCTGATTGTGGTGCGAAGATTCATCACATGTAATGTTCCAAAAGGTCCAAACAAGACGGAGGAAGAAGACCAGGAGGAGCATGCTAAGACGAATCGGAAAGTTCACTTACAACGGAATAATACATGTCACAGCACAGATTCGAAAAGTGTCGCTGTGGTGGAATAGCTTGAGGTTGGTTTGGGAATCTAATTATAAGATTTTCTGCTGATATTCTAATTCAGAGTCCAGGTGAAGAGATACCAGGCTGCGACCCAGTCCACCGGTTACCATATGGGAAGTCTTGATAACCAAGGTTGCCGTATGTTCATTTTCATCCCTGCTAGATTCGCATACCATAAAGCTTTATTGAACTCTTGACTTTGACTACCTCGAACCTATATCATACATGTTTATGAGAGGGATGATTTTAGATGAACTTAACTCGTCGCGAGCCATGTCACAGGCGCTGCAACCCAATGATTCAGTATCATCATTCCCCTGTTGCTCCCACTCGGCACATGGAGGTTGACTGGAGAAGTTGGGGCAATCTGGGGAAGTTTTGGCATACGGCATACCGGCATACCGGCAATCAGGACATGGCACATGCAGGGCTTTATAGACTCGCGAAACCGAGAAGATAAACAGGGATAACGCTCTATTATCTTGATCAACATCGAAGTATGGCCAGATGGAAGAAGTCTACAGTGTATTCGAGCACCGATCTACCACGTGCTGTTTGTTAACTAGCATGGCACAACCTTGGAATCGAGAGTTCTATCCTGCAGCCTGTGCCAAGGTGGAATCGCATGATGTTAACTTTTGGAACTACCCCAAAGCAGTCAACAGATTGTCCTACGCCCTGGGAATGCCAACAATTTGTTCGCAGTTTTTGTCGCTGAAATACCTAATGCAGGAGCTGCTCATCGCCACCGCCGAGTGAGAGAACCATCCAATTGATATTGGCAGACAATTCTGTTGCCCTAACTATGGATTGTGGAGCTATTACTCCAAGTATATGTAGGGAGCCGCAAACAATACTGCACCGTATTACTTAAGCCTGTTTCCGCTCCAGAAAAAATTCTGTCGGGGTAACTGTCTAAGCACATTTCTGACTGGCATATATGTGACTCGGGTGGTTTTCATTGTTTGGGGGGGGGGGGGGGGGTTGGGAGTATCTACATCGGGGAAGACCCCAGAGACCACTGAAGTTGGTGAAGTTTACTTCCACATGCTCGGACCTAGCCAGCCTGGATCAAGGTGACAGGCCCTTGCTAGGATAGCGTTCAATACAAGAAGTTTCAATCTTCCCTTTTCTTGGACTGAATTGTTCCCCAGGTTCAAATAAAAGTCCAAGCTGCTACCTACCTTATTCATACAAGTATTCCTTGTGTTCACCTTAGCCAACAACATCGGAGCCCCGGACTAGCTTCGATGATAACGAAATAGACAGCCGGCAGAGCAGCTGGCTCGCACATCGGACACATCATGGAGATCAACC